GCCACGGACAGCAATGGCGCCTGGCTCTGAGGGTGCCCAGCTGCCCCACGGGCATTCCAAGAGGGCTTGAGGATGGAGGACAACCCAGCCCTTGAGAGAGTGCTGATTCGACATCAACGCCCGTGGAGGCAGCAGCCAGGAAGTCAAACGGCGGAGTATCGTGGGCCAATCTGCAGGACAGCCCTTGCGACAGTGTTCCTCGTTACTTGGGGGACTGGGGTGCACCTGACCCGAGCCGCGATCCTGTCGACCACCTGACGTGCATGAGAGCTGGGTCAGGAACAGGGAACTGGCAGAGATTACTGAATGCACCACGGGCTGCCAGGAGAACGAGCCGAGCCGTGTTGGCATCAGTAGAGCCAATTGCTGCTTAGAAACAAGGATGGTGAGGCTTCCTCTCACGTGCCTAATCAGGGTAGGCTTTCAGGAGTGAGCACTCCCCGGGGAAGGACACCACGCTGAGTAGAGGCGAGGGTCCGTGAAGAAGAGGAGGACCCTCGACAAGATGGATGGAGGACCACCACCACGGGGCACGAGACTATCCAGTCACCCCTCCGATACCACAGGTGGGCAGTGGTTGTGCAGGACCACGTTGAGAGGGATTCTGAGAAGTGCAGGCTTAGCAGGAAAGCCCGAGTGCGGGGATTGATTAGTGATGCCTGGCCGCACCCTCCATCTCCCACCAGCTCAGCCCACGCCCGCCCATCCTGGCTCCTCACCTGTGAAGGGGCCGTGCTGAGCGCCCCCGGGGGCTATGAAGTTGAGGGGCACGTGGGGGGCCCCGCTGACGTACTCGTGCGGGAAGGGCCCGTTGGCCCCCGCGTAGCGTTGGCACACCACACGCTGGCACACGAAATAGACGCCGCCCATGACAAAGAGCGAAAGGACGATGCCAATGACGGGCCCGATGGCGCTGCTGTGGGCCGGGATGTCGTCCCCGGGCGGCCTGTTGATTTCTGCCAAGGATGGCAGAGGGGACGATGATGGGAGAGAGAGTGGTGGGAGGGTTTCCAGGGGGGGCAGCATGGGCACCGGAGGGAGAGTGCCCTAGGAGAGGACGTGGGCTGGAGGCTACTCCTGCCCAGGTCCCAGGACCCACTGCTGGAGGGTGGGTGGGAGGAGGGAGAGATGGCACTAACCCCAATACCCCTGACCTGCTGCTCCCACTTCATGGCCCACCTCACCCCACCCCACTGCCCAGATACCTCTCACTGACACCAGGCCCCTGCTTTCTCCAGGGACCACAGGGGGCGGGCGGGTGGGGGGATGCATCTGCTGGGTTCTTCCATCATGTAACTATGCGGGTGGGGGTGGCTTGGGGCTGGGGTCCCCAAGCTCATTCATCAGGGATGACACCATGTGAGGGCTGGGAGGGATAGTGGGGGCATCTAGGAACTTGCAGGCTTCCCGAGCCCCCTCCCAGCCTTCACAGAAGATTAGGAGTCCTGAACGGCCTGAGGAGAGTGACCAGGTAGGGGGTGGGGTGTGGAGCATGCCCCTCTTGCCCTCCCACCATCTGGCAGCCCAGAGAGGATGCCTGGGCTTCAGGTGGCAGCCCAGCTGTAGGTGAACATCAACTGGGACCCAAGGTGCCAAGGGAAGACCCTGTCAGACCCACAGGGGGCTGGCCCGGACCACCCCTCCACTGTCACCTGGGCTCATGCTGAAGTAGCTGGCCAGGGGGACATGGCATAAAGGGCCCTGGGGACACCACTTATCCCTGTCCCCCAGTTGTCCCTCCCGAGGTCAGAACTCTTAGCCAGGCCTCTTGGGAGTGAGTGGCCACATTGCCACCCATGCCTCCACATTTCCACTTCCTTTCTGAATCTAAGAGCCACCACCTCCAGAGAGCCTTCCCTGATGCCCTGGGCCGGGCCTGGCAGCCCAGACTGTAGAGGCTGTGGAGGGTCAGGTGCCCCACACGCTACACTGTGTGTGTATGTGTGTGTCTGTCTACAAGTAGGTCTATGTGTCTGTCTATGTCCACACCTGTGTGTCTGTATTCATCTGTGTGCATGTATGTGAATCCGTGTCTGTATTCCATGTATGTCTACGCACGTGTGTGGACACACGTGTCTGTGTATAAGTGTGACTATATTAATCTGTATGTGTGCATGTGAGTCTGTATGTGCCTGTCTTTGTTCCATGTATGTGTATGTGCCGGGCTGGAGCTGCAGGCTCGACGCTTCTGCCACCGCCACGGTTCTAGGAAGAGGCCATTCGGCGTTCAGACATGCCCAGTGGCCTCTGTCCCTCAGAGCCCTGTGCCCTGTCCTGGGAAGACCCAGGCTGGGCTCCGATGCACCCACTCCCCGCTAGTGCTGCCCGAGGGTCTCCCAGCCTCCCCGGCCTGCCTCCGCCGCAGCCAGCGGCCCGCTCACCACACAGGAGCTCATCGGAGCCATCCATGCAGTCGGGGAAGTTGTCACACTGCTGCTTGATCAGCACACACTGGCCGCTGGCACACCGGAACTGGCTAGGTAGGCAGATGGCTGCAACGGAGGCCACAGGCTCAGAGGGGACCCCCACAGGGAGCGGAGGTCCCAGCCGGTGGGTGGGTCCCCTCATGGCGGCTAGACCCACCACACCCTGAGCCACAGCCTCCACCCCGAGGGGCGCGTGAGTGAAGAAGCGGCTGTAGCTTCTCAGAGGCAGCCACGTCCGTGGTCCACGCCCACCCCCTCGTGCCATGAATGACGCCAGCACAGGGCCCAGGCGGCATGTCAGAAACTGAGCCCCCACGGGTCCCACAACCAGGGGTGCTGGGGAAGGGCCCTAAGTGGG